AAATAAAGGCAAAATGAAAACAAATAAAAAACTGAATAGCATTCCATGATCTGCAATTTTCTTCTGCGGTACACAAGTTCTCATATAGTACACTGGGGAAAACTGGATCGACGTTTTACCACAAAAAATTAAAACAAGCAAAGCGATGCAAATAATATTTTGATTGTCTTAAACCTTATTTAATTCCAGACATGAAAATTTATTTTCATAAAGATCACGCGAGGAAGACTTGCGTAACAGTGTATCTCAATTGGCCGACTGAATCGCAAAAGTACGGAAAATTGCGCGGTTTCTGAGAAAAAATAGTAATGGTTTACATCAACATCGTAGAGTTAGACTAGTTTTGTTGTGCGAAGAACATCGTTACGTGTTTGTGGATATTTTTTCATGAATTCGGCGACGAAATGGCATGAGGAAGGAGCGATAATCCATCTAAACAGCAGTTATAATCCTGTGTTACATCAGCGGTTTAGAGAATCAAAGATTCATGTCGTAGTGCTACCACTGAAGGGCCACAAGGCAAACCAAACAAAATTTCTAGCTGTTATGCAAGAAAATGCGAGAAAATGGCAAGCTCCTGGTAGATGAGCTCAAAAAGAGATCCTGAATTCTAGTTGGGATAAAAAAAATAAGGACAACAGTGTCTAGTACAGAAAGGAATATTTATCACCTTTACATGATTAAAGAAGAGCTCTTCTATGAACAAAAATAAGTATGTACTGTGAGCAGNGGTGGGCAATCAAATGGTGATGAGTGAAATTAGGAAAAAATAATAATTTATGTGCATTTTGTCAAAATTCTGATAATTTTCCAAACCTTTAGCTGAGGGAGTTACTAGAATTTTGACAAAATGCAAATAATAAAAATAATTATTATTTCTTAATTTCACGAGTATACATTAGTTTGATTACCTACATGACTCACAGGCTGTATGAGCGTCATGGGTAACAAATTATGCTACAATCATGTGCCAAATGTTGCCACGGCAATTTTCTAATTTTATATGTGAAATAAATTTATTATAAATTAGCGCTGAAATTTTGCACCAAAATTTGTCACCCATGATATTAAAAATGTAACTGCATTTTATTTACTGTCCTGTCGATATTGGCCAATAAAATAAGATTTTCTTGAGGTGTTTTGTATTTCTTTCAAGTTAATGGAAAGAGGCCAATTTTTTTTTCTAGATTCAGACCGTCTTTATTCAGTCTTTAATCAACGTTAGCCTGTAGATGTCGAGCAGTACGTGGGTATGTAGGCTACAATAACATCTACACTTACACCAAAATTCCCCAAGACAGGCAAAGCCTATAACTGTTTTCACAGCAGGAATCAACTTGGAGCATTAGTTCTCATTTCTGGATGGCATGCTAAAACATGTGAGTTACTCCCCAGATTTAGCTAGCTTCTTTTATACACTTAGTTGAGATACACGTAGGTACCGAGAGAAGAATCTTGCCTAGGAACGCAAGGGCTCTGGATTAAATGGAAAGCTCAAAATGAAACCTTTTGAAGCCATTAGGCCACCACACAAGAGCTGCAAATAATATCAATACACATGCATGCACAACTAAACAGGCTCAAGATGATATGGAGTTCACAGATAATTCTCACAAAGAATTCTGTTCACGCTAGATCATCTTGAGACTATTAAGATGTATGACATTACATGTATTTCTGTGACCAACAAATTGACACATCCTTACCCTTTCCATGTCAAATTCTCTCATGTCTATCTCCATTTGTAGTTCTTCGGCATAAAGAAGAGTTGAAAACCTGGCTGCATATGTCCTCAAGGACAATGGCTGCATGGGAAGAAACATCAACAAGACTATATCTAGTAGAGACAATTGCTACAGACACACACTTCAAAGAAACGGTTGGTGAATGCTCCTTCAAAAACCAAAGGTCTTGCAAAATGTTCATTGAATTCCAAGGATATCACATGTCTCATTTTTTTA